GAGGCCCACAAGTTTCCCATTCCTGCTCTAAATGCTGATGGGGTGAGTGGATGGGCTGAAGAACTGGTAATCAAAAAGGCTCAGTATGTCGCATGTGCTCCAATATGGTACAATCACAGGATCACCAAACCCATGTGTTCCTCTAATGTTCATGTGATCTTTCCTTACCGTTGCAGTCCCGTTGCCATGGCTGGAGATGGTGCTTAAGAGCATTTCCTCCAAGTGCTGTTGTTTGGTTTCTCGTAAAGCTTCACAAAAGGCTGAGAAGGCTTTAGGACCCCTCTTAGGGAGTAGGTTCAGGAATTCTGTATTTTGGCTAAAACTTCCATCCTTGGCCTGAATCCAAGTAGAGAAAACAAAAATTCAAAGAATACTGAATTGGTAAATAACACAAATCTGTTCTGTGAAGCTTTTAAGGAAGCTGACAACTCCTTCACTATGCTAGCTGAACATAATTTGCAAACTTTAACATATAGGGTCGTATCCAACCCTGCTTGCTTGACTAATAGAACAGAAATGACTGACAAAACAGTTTTGCCCTCTCACCTCCAGCCCCCAATCTGTTGCAGAAGCTGTTCTATTGGAACATTTGCCATATCCAATATTTTCATTATCCTTTCCATCATTGCACATTCTTCATGTATTTTTCATCTCGTGTCAAGCAACCTTAAGGCACTATAACCTCAAATAGCAACCTCTCTGGAAAATGAACAGGGAATATAAAATACTTGAGTGCTACCTGCCAGCTCAATTTGCAGAACATAAAGCAAATTGCTCAAAATGATCCTGAAAGCACTTGCTTCTGGCTTGGGACAGATCAGCTGGCCTTCCCCTTGCAAGTTCAACCAAACTGCCCTGTTCCAAAAAAGTTTTTCTGATCAGGTTGGTTTGCAGACCATTAGCTTCCCCAGTGTGTTAGAGGTGGATCCCTCTGCCATGTGGGCAGGTTCAGATATAGATACTAGCAAAGTGAATTAGTGTAATACCCAAAATTGCAGCCCCAAAAGTTTAAAAAATAACATCGTTTTAGTCAAACACATGTATTCATTCACATAAGATAGATGTTGACATTCTTAATATGAACCTGCAGCATAAGATCTATTTTGCATCTAAACATTTTCCTTCAACAAAAAGATACATATAAATCTAATTGGCTTGTTACTAGAATAGTCTGCCTCACAGCTTGGTGGCTGGAAAAATTATTCTTGTCACCAACATGCTATATTATTATTGTTTATAGGATAAGTCTGCATCATCCAACAACACAGCAGGTCCCCCACAACTAGAGAAGAAAATTATAAAATGAAAACACTTCAATAGCGTCACAAGGGTTCAAGAGGCACAAAGTTTCATGACTTAACTTTTATGAGTTAACTTTTAAAAGACTCTTAAGACTTAAGAGATTAAAGGATTCTTTGATTAAGAGTGACTGTTTGATTACTTAGGTGAGCACATGCTATTACAGTTTTCATCTTTAACTGGCTAAACACCTCATTCTGCTCCTTCCACTTCTCTCTCCTCAGCTGAGCCCTGCAAATGTATCCAAAGAAGTTCATCATCCACTGCTTACACTTTTACTAGCATATGACTTAGTCTTAAACCCTAGCTTCTAGGAGTTTTTCTTCTTGGCCACTTGAAAGCAATTATTATTTGACTCAGGTAAAACATGTAAGATGCCTGTTACAAGCATGCATTAGTTTACAAACGAATGCTTTTCATCTAGTTCAATGCTATCTGCTAGTCTAGGACCTATGCTAGCCTAACACGTATTTTGCAGGATTTAGAACCATAAACAGTTAAGCCAGGTGGATTATAGCTTTGGATAATTCCAGTTGCTTACAAGTCCAAATGTACCTGTATTGTCTCCATCATTGCCACAGTGATGACATCCCGTTCTATAAGGTATTCCATCAGTTCCTTCAGTATTAGCTGGTTTGCTAGACATACACGATTCTTTTTCAGTGCCTCCTGATGACATTTCTGCATGCCACATGCACCCAACATCCTAGAACCAAAGAAGAAAGCAACCCCCAGCACAAAAGTCACAATTATGCTTCACAACTTACATAATGTACCATGTTCTTTAAAGGCAGAACAAGTACAAACCAGGCAACCACTTCAACATTCCATTTATTTCACCATTTATATTCAGACTGTAACTATAAACATACAGCTCCTTGAAGAAATATCCAACCCCCTTTGACTTTTCCACAGTCTGTTGTGTTACAACCTGGAATTGAAATTTATTTAATTGGCATTGTTTCTGCTGGATACACAAAAGATACTCAGCACTGTGAAGGTGCAAAATATGTTTATTGTAGTGGAAAAGGGAAGTACACAAAAACAAATTGACACTTTTAAATATTCACTTCTAAATCAATACTCTGTAAAACAATTCTGACAATTCCAACTTTAAGTCTTGGATAAGTCTCCACCAGCTTCGCACATCTGAATCCTGCCATGTTTGCCCATTCTTCCTAGCATAACTGTCCTAGCTCTGTCAGGTTGAACTGGGACAACTGGTGGAACAGAATCTTTCAAGTCTTGCCACAAATCTCAATTGGATTGAAGGTTGAGCTTTACATTCTAAAACATTCAGGTTCTTGTTTTTAAACTAATTCAGTATTACTTTGGATGCCTGTTTAGAGTTACTGTCCTACTGGAAGGTAATTCTCCACTCCAGTCCCAGGATCCTTGCAGAATGAAATGCATTTTCCATCACCTTCATCATTACCATATTGCATTTATATCCCTTACTGCCCTGCATGTGGCTCTATCCAGGTTGCCCTCAATCCTGACCAGTTTCCCAGCCTTGCTGAAAAAAGCATCCTCACAACTTGATGCTGCCTTCACCATGGGAATGTTCCCAGGGCAATGAGCACTGCTGATTTTGCAGCAAGATCAAAAGTTCAATTTTGGTCTCATCAGACCAGAGAACCTTTCCCCACGTTTGCTGTGTCTCCTACATGCCTTTCTACAACCTCCAAATGGGTTTTGTTTCAGCAGTGGCTTTTTTCTCACCACTCTTTCATAAAGTTGAGCTTTGTGGGACAACCAGGTGATAGCTTTATGGAGCTACAGCATCTCTCATCTCAACTGTGGATTTCTCTAGTCTCTTCAGAGTAATCAATGGCCCCTTGGTTGCTTCTGTTGAAGACCCTCCTTATCAAGCAACTGAAAATTGGCAGACAGCCTTCTCTACGTCAAGTTGCAGTTGAGCCATATTCTTTCCATTTTAATGCTGCTCCAGGGAATGTTCATTGTTTGGGATTTAAAAAAATAACCTCACTCTGAGACTGCTTCTGCACAACTTTACCCCAGAATTATTTTGCAGTTGCACTGTCTTCCTAATGCTGTCTGTTTAGATATACTATCTAGCAAACACTGGAGCCTTCCAGGAACAGGTGTACTTTTTTGAGATCAAGTGGCACTGGAACTGCACACAGGTGGACTCCATTCATCTATTTGCAGTACATGACTTCTGCTGGTGGCAAGTTACACCAGAGTGTACAAATTTAGGCATGTCACAGCAAAGGGGTGGATCCTGATGCAATGAACAAGTGCCAGCTTATTTTTATTTCCTTAACATTTGTGCAATGATTTAAAAAAAATTACACTTCACAAAGTTGAGTATATTGTGCACATTACATGACAATGATGAGAATTAAATTTATTTCAATTCCAGGCTGTAACACAACAAAATGTGGAAAGGTGAAAAGGAATGAATATTTCTGCAAGCACTATACTTACATACAAGCAGCTTCTGCTTATTTTAATGGAACTTGTTTTGAAGAGGCATGGAAAAATTTAGGCCCCCTGGATATCTGAACCTAGAGGCTTCAGGATCTCACTATTCCATATGGTGGATCAGGCTAATGGCTAAAACATCTGGAGGGCAGTCTACAAGCAGTCCACCCCTGAATTAAAGTATTTAGGACTCCTATACTTGAGAAAGATTGTTATGCAAAGGGTATTCAAGCATTAGAGTACTTGAACCAGCTTTCACATTAATAATTTCAAACAAATAACAAGAATTACACATCAGTTTTCAGTGCTCAGTAACATAACATTTATCTAGCACATAGAAGTATGGGCATATTTGGAGAATTCTGAATGGAAAAAAATCCAGCTTTGGTCTAGTTTATTTTACAGCAGGGGATGGAATGTGTACCCCTCCAGATGTTGCTGCAGTGCAACTCCCATCATCGCGCACCACTGGTTATGCAGGCTAGAGCTGACTGGAGTTACAGCCCAATGTTATCTGGAAGGCCACACATGCTCTTTTACATACATAAGAGAACAGAAGGCATTTATCTCTTTTATTAATCCCTTTCACTCTGAGCTGCCTACATATTCTTTCCTTTTTCCCTAATTCTATTTTTGCATTACTCATATTCAATAATGTCCAGTGAAGTTTCTGCTGGTAAAAGGACAAATGAACAAAAACTTAAGTGCTTATACTAACCACTGGAGTTACTGTAACCAGTCCTGAGATGCCATGCATAAGGGACGGCATATAAAAGCTTTAAATAAATAAGTAAATAAATATACTGCAAGTGGGAATCAGAAAACCACACCAATTATTGGGGGTGGGTGGTGGGGAGAAATGGCTATCAACTCCTTGCCTGGTTTGTAAATTTCCTTCAGTGCTTTGCTATCTGCATTGACTGCTATTCTATATCCACACTCAATGTTATGTCTTTTAACCTTTAAATCCCAAAAGAGGTAAGGGCCAGCTTCCCTGAAGCATAGGAACACAGGAGGCTGCCATACACTGAGACTATGGTTCCCTCTAGTACATTATTCTTGATACTGAGTGGCAGATCTCCTGGGTTTCAGGCAGGGATTTTTCTAACCCCACCTGAAGATGCTGAGGAGCCATCCTAAGAACTTCTGCATATAAAACATGCAATATACCAGAGCCATGATCTACAACTCACATTGGATCTAGCTAGCATAGCCAACGGTAAGGAACAATAGACAATAAAACCTCAGCATCACTCTCTGATGAATTTGCAAAACTTTTTGAAGATAAAAATCACTCTCATCTATCATAGCTCAGACACCACAAATAATGCGGCTCCATTAGCAGAGGTGTCCAGAGCACCAGTTAGGTTAATTTCACTGCGTGAATTTCACTCTTGAGACAAGGCAACTAGCCAATTCCATAAATGCTTATCCCTGGCTTTTAATAATTTATTACATCTAATAGGAAAGGAATTCCCAGTTAGATCCAGGAGGTTATAAATTTCTTCCTCAGAGAGGGGGTAGTATTAGTCTGTTTAAAGGAGGTTGCAATTTGCCTACACCTTAACAAGTGTAAACTGGATCTGGAAGGTATTAATAGCTATGAGTCAGGGGCTCACAACTCCTCTTGGGCAGGTTGCTCAATTGGGTGGTTGCCAGTTAACAATGAACACTCCTGAATTAAACTGATTACCTGAATCCATTTCAGTTGGGCTCCCCCACTTAGGTTCCCCTGTGGAACTACCTTTGCCAAGAGAAGAACAAGGGGAGTGCAACCCTGTTGATTCTTTTGAACTTCAAAGCAGGTATCCTTCTGGATATGTTATCTGAGGTAGCATACTGTGCTGCACTGGTTTTGCACCTACTTGGATTCCTAACTCAAGAAACTGCAGCTGCTGCAGGGTTAATGCTCTGCAACTTGGCAATTATGCTTTTGGGTTCCACAAAGCTCTGTTTTATCTCCTATGCTGTTGAACATTTACATTATGCATAGAGGTGCTGCCAATGTGCAGACAGCATGCCCAGGTTTACCTTTCCTTTTCACTGAATCCAGGGGAGGTAGTGGATGTTCTGAATCAGTGTCTGGGGGCACAGGTGCCCTCAGTGGAGTGGATGAGAGCAGTAAACTGAAACTAAAACCAGACAAGACAGAAGTGCTCTTGGCAGATGGCTCATTCACCCAACCAAGGTGTGTTTAACCTATTGTGGAAAGGGTACACTTCCTCTATATGATCAGTTTCATAGTATCGGAGTGTTCTGGGATCCAGTACTGTCATTCAAGGCACAGATGGCCACAGTGCCATGGATCACTTTCTACCAGCTTGGGTTAATACACCAACTATGCCCCTGTGTGGTCACACCTGGCCTAGATACAGTTATCTTTGCTTCCGTGACTTGTTTGGATTACTGTAGTGAGTTATACATGGAGCTGCTTTTGAAAATGGTTTGGAAACTTCTGCTGGTACAAAAACAAGATTAACAGGGCCCTATTATACCAATGCTACAATCTGGGCTGGATTGCAGTCCATTTCCAGGCTCAAATCAAAGTGCTGATATTATCTTCTAAACTGCTTGAAACCACATTACCTGAAAGAGCACCTCCTCTCATATAAACCTACCTGGACCCTAAGATAATTTTCAAAGCCCCTTCTCTAGATACCTCTGCCAAATGAACGGAGTCTGAATTGAAACTGAGCTACTGAGAGAGGAGGACATTTTCAGTTGGGACACCAGTTATGGAAAGCCATTCTCAGAGGCTTGTCTAGAACTGTGGTCTTTCTGGCATCATGTGAAGAACTTTTTAAAAAGATTTTTCCTTCCCTTTAAAATATCTGTACTGTGTGTCTGTCTTGTGTACCCTGCAAGGATCCCAACCTAGTGAGAGTCCGGCCTTCCGGCAGCAATGCTCTTGGTTTCTCTCATACTTTTATCTCTCTCACCACATTAAGGAGTGCATCCAAGAGGGGGAAACTATATTATTCTACATTCTTGCAGTCTTCTAATCTCCTGCTGAGTTTTACTTTGGTTTTATAATGTGCTGAATTATGTTTACCTCTTTTTTTATCCCAGCTTTTAATATATTTCTCATTCCCATCTGTTCTTGGGTGGACCCAAACTGAAATAAACAGAAAATTGCCTATCTTTGGTATTTTTATAAATACACACTATTTTGAGCTAGGAATCCCTGTGTGTGTTGTTTATCAGTCACTGTTTTTCAGTCCCTGGACAGCAATTCATAAGGTACATGTGAATCACAGTGGAAAAGTTTCTTACTTTCTGCATACAGACCATTCTTAAGATATTATCAACATCTATTATACCAGCTTTCCCTAACCAAGAATCCTCCAGATGTTTTCAACTAGCATTCCCAAACATTTTTGATTACTGGTCATGCTGGCTGGGGCTAAACAGATTTGATGTCCAGAACATCTGGAAGATACCATCTTGGAGAATACTACATCAATATGTGACTGATATATGGAAATTATTCAGAGTCTTGTTCTTTCTTACTGCATCCACATATAAAATTTCTACATTATTCAGATTCTGAAAATGTCCCTGCAGTCATTGTTTAAGGATAATAAGGATTGTTTCAATACAGGAGAAAAAGGCTGCTATCCCAGACAAAAAGACCAGAGCTGTGATATTACACAAGCAAATATAATACTCTGTTGTACTATGCTCCACTGACAAAAATATAGGATTCTGCTCAATTTTCAGTATTACTGGAGCACTCGCAAGTCTTAAACCTCTCATAAGTGAGGCCTGAATTAAAACTGAAGAAATATTTCAGCCTTACTCTTACACAAACATAAATATTTATGACTATAAGAACTACAAACATGCAGAAGAGCCCACCTTATATGTTTCTCCTTAAGCCACATGCCTCCTGTAAAAGAAGGTAATTCTGCTGGAAGTGATCAATCACACTGGAAGTGATTGTATTACAAATCCTTCTCAGTGGAGAGACATTGGCAGAATTATCCACCCCTACCAACAGAGGTCACATGGACAGAGTAAAATGTAGAGCAGTGAATGTCTGGGACACATAGAGGACTTTATTCCTTGAGGCACAGTAGTACACCCCAACAAGGAGACATCATGTCTACCTCCCTTTATGTGGTATAGTTAACCAAGCTCTTCCTTTGTACCCAATCAGTAGTACTTCTACTAGTCTACACATCCCTAAGCTCTTTCCATAAGTGAACATTAAACCACCTTGTTTTGTGGTACACACTAGTTTGAGCTCTTGGATAAGTATATGTGCTTTATTTTTAAAAATAGCTTAAATTTTGGACAATTTTTCTTCTTGAGACACCCAGAAAACTCAAATGAAATTAAAAATAATACTTTCATCTATTTTTACGATTATAGAGTTCCCCTGTCTCCAAAAAGCAAGGCCTTCTCATGTACTCAATAGCACCATGATATGAGCAATCAGAAACCCAACAATCTTAGAGCATTTAAGATGAAGTATTACCTTACAATGTCTGCAGGCTAAACTGATTTTAAAAGTTCATTTAAAGTAGCCAGTTAAGAAGCTAGTAATCATTTCCCAAAAAAGGAAATCTGTGTTGGGGCAGGGGTGGTCAGAAGTTAGCACCAACTCTGAAGAGCTCATAGATGTTTTCAGTGTAGTGCCTTTCTCAGACAGTTGTATGAAAGAAACCTCAGAACATCAGACAGAATTGTAGACAAAGGTATTCAGTTTGCTTTACATCTTTTCTCCTTTAAAGCTGGATGTACCTACAAAAGAAACTATTTTAGAAAATTTATTTTGTGGGTTTCTGTGTATACAACAGTCTATACAGCCATAAGAATGATCTGATGACATATAATCTTTAATAGCATATAAAAGGGAAGAAAGATGCCAGCATCTTGGAAATATTAATAAAAACTTGACAGACCCTGGAGCTTACAGACCTTTATCCCTGATAAACCAAGAGGCAACAAATGTTACGGCAATATTTACAAAAAGACTGAATAACTTTATTGATAAATGCATTAAGGTGGATCAAAATGGTTTTATAGTAGGGAGGTAGAGGACAGATCTGACTGGAAGAGTATTAGATGTAACAGAAGTCATATCAAAGGAAAGTTTAAAAGCTAGTGTAATAGCATTGGATATTTTCAAAGATTTTGATTGTGTGGAATGGCCCACAATAAAGATGCTGATAGAGAATTGGCACAAGATTTAAAAGTATAATAAACCAACTATATTCAGAAAATTTTACAACAGTGATAGTTAATGATGGTCTAACAGAACAAATACACTTAGGCTCAGGATGCTCTCTTTCCCCAATATTGTTTGCTTTAGTTATAGAATTATTAGCAAATAGTATAAGAAATGATGGTACTCTAAAAGGTACTGGATTTAAGAACAAAATTTAGATTAGTCTATTTGCTGATGATGTGTTATTAACAATACATTAAAGATCCATCTACAGTTATGGATAAGATTAAAATTCATTTAGTAGAATTCGCAGAGACAGATTTACATGTTAATTGGGATAAATTCAAACTGATGTTGCTCAACTGCAATAAAAAGGAGGATTTTAAGAAAAGGATTTTAAATGTAAACTTATTAAAATACATAAAATTATCAATTATCTAGGTATAAACATTTCAAAAAAATCCAATGTTTAAAAAAGAATAATTTTGATATATTGAAAACTGAAAAAAAGATAAAATGTACCAATTTAGGAAAATAGGATTATCATGATTTGGCAGAATAGCAGTATGTAAAATGAAAATTTTAGCAAAATTGGAAGACTGGACAAATATGATTAATAAATTTTGTAATGGAGATAAGAAAGCAAGGATTAGTAAGAGATGATGGTATACATTGCAAAAAAGTGGAGGACTAGGTATTCCAAATATTACATATTATGTAGTGAATCAAATAAGACATATACCAAGTGTTACAGTGTCTCCTGAAAGGTAATAGAACACATTCAGGGATCCCTTCTAAATCTTCTCTTCAAACTGGATGATAAGATTGTGAGAAAGATAGAAAACTCCTTTCCTAAAAATATGGTCCAAATCTGGGATAAGTACAGAGAAGTAGTTATGCCAACAATTTCATCAATAATTCCAGTTACAGAAATTAAGATTTCCAGAAAATTTGAGCGGTAGATTGAGAAAAAGTATATATATATATATAAAAAAAAAAACACTGGAGGAAGAAAATAGATAACAAGGATGAAGGCAGTACTAGAAAAACTCACTTGGTTTAACATCATGCAACTAGACCAATGAATTAAATAACTGATGAAGAAAAATGGTAGGTGTACCATTCAAATTACCAAATTTGAAGAGATGGTTCTTTATAAGGAAAAACAAGGCATTATGCAAATGAAAGGGATAATAAGTGATAAGATTTTATTAGATATGGAAGACCAATATAACCCTCTTAACATTGGTAATAGATTTAGGGAAGAATATAGGTAAGGGAGAATGGGAAAAAATATGGGATAAGAAAATACTAAAAAGCATGTCTATCAGAATTAAGGAAATTGTTATAAATTAGTACAGAAGTGATACCTGACACCAGTAAAATTATACTATATAGATAATAACAACTCCAACTTATTTATTTATGCCATTGCTACAACGCCCCAGAACCTAAATGATTTCTTACGCTGATGTGGTCAAAAAGTGAGTACATATCCCCATATGTGGTTGGAATGTGAAAATATGATTTAATGCAATTTTGGATGGAAGGGGGTAGTCCTGAAAGGGGGCAAGCATAGAGGTAAGGAAAAAGGAAATGAATATTATGTAGCCAAGGTCCTGGTTTGGGGTGGGGGGGGGACACTACTTGTGCTTATAGTTTTTCTTTTTTTCTATTTGTTGTTGTGGATGTATTTTTGAATTTTATTTGTTCTGATATATTTTAGTATTGCGTTTTAAATTATTTAAAACTCAAAAAATAAAAAACAACTATCCACGCATTTGCAAGATTTGCTTATTAAAAATATTTGAAAGCCATTTTTTAACATTTAAAATACACTCCTCTGAGTAGAACTGTCACTTTCTTTACAGCAACTATTTATGTAAAACAAGGATGCAGCTCTTTCAGTCTGGAGGCCAAATTCCATTTTGGAGAACTTCAGAGACTGCATTCCAGGGGTAAGCAAGTTTGAAGGGAAAATGGGGAGTTGAAATATACCCAGAAATTTTAGGGTGAAGCTCTTACTAGCAGTTACAAAGCTTTAACACAGACATGCCAACGTTTTAGAAGTGGGGAGGAAGAAGAGTACAAAAGTTGGGAAGTACCCAATCCATTGATGGCGGGCATAAATGGGTGAAGTCATGGCCTTCTAGAAAAACCAGGGCTAGATGGGGACCCCGACAGAGCGAGATCTTACCCTTGGATCTAAGACAGTACCAGCTAAAACCACAACTGTTAATTTACACCTAGTACAATCACCATGGTTTCTGCTGAACACACACGCTTTTTAAAGCTCACATCCACTGCAGTGCTGAGTTAAGACTCTGGGTGTCATGCTATAACTTGTGAATACAGACATAAGCTCTAACTCAGTTTAATTAATTTGATGTGTCAAACAGATGCATCTTGGGGTCTTTCCCTTGTACATCACAAGCGGGGAAGACCCATTCTTGAATCAGGGCATCCCTTGTTCAAACGACGCCTCTACCATGAACTCAAGACATCCGGTGCCCTCCGCAGCAGGGCCACTTTGGACCTCCGCTCTATCTGCATCGGCGGAAGTAAGACGGATCAGGGTAATACAGCGCGTATGGACACTGAAAAAGCGAGCCAGAGGTGTTCACTACCGCTCATGGCTCGGCAGCCTTGGCAGGACGCCCCCGGGAAGCACAAAAGGGGACTGAGAAATCCGACCATCAGCGGCCACGGGAGAACGCGAACAGCCTGACTGGAAGGCCGGCGCTTCTGGGCACCCTCCCCGCCCGCCGGTCCCACGGCCGCTCCCGGGCGTTCCTCCCGCCTTCCTCCAGCCATCCGCCACCGCGACGGACGGAGAGAACCGCTCCGGGCACGACCCCACGCTACCCGCTCCGTCCCTGCCTTCGAGAATCGCGGGCAGGGGAGCCGCTCACTCACATCGACCGCGTCTGGCGCGTCCCGGCTCTCTGCACAGCCGAAGCGGGAGGCCGCGCGGCCGCGAGCGAGCAAGCACCGCCGTTTTCCCGCCTAAAACTCCCTTTCTTTTGGCAACAGCTGACGAAAGTGGGAGCAGAGGGGGGAGGAGAGGGAGGCGACGGTTCCCGGTCACATGGGCGCAGCTCAGCCCCTGCGAGGAGTATGCGCGTGCGCACGAGCGGCCGCGCCTGCTCTGTGCTGCGCGGGGCAAACCACCCGAAAACGACCTCGCTAATTAGTCCGTCTCCTAGGGCGCATGCGTACTCCTGCGCTTTAGGCAAGGCTTCTTCTGGGTTCTGCTAACGCGCTGATTGGCTCGTTGTCCGCTGGCGCCGCTGCAGTCCAATGCAGGCTTGTCTTCAGCCGCAAGGAAGTTCGCCTTCTGCTGATTGCCTATCTGTGCACTGCTAAGATTTGTTTCCAGCTTCATTAATATCGCGAATAAATAAACAAACTTCAATATTATTGCTACTATTAGTGTTAGTATATATTTCTTTTCTGTATCGCCCCATAACCGAATCTGTCTGGACGGTTTGCTAAAATCCATAAAAAGACCATTGTTGTTGGTGTTGTTAGTCACGAAGTCGTGTCCGACCCATCACGACCCCATGAACAACATTCCTCCAGGCCTTCCTGTCCTCCACCATCCCCTGGAGTCCACTCAAGCTCACACCGACTGCTTCAGTGACTCCATCTAGCCACCTCATTCTCTGCCATCCCCTTCTTCTTTTGCCATCTATTGTTCCCAGCATTAGACTCTTCTCCAGGGAGTCCTTCCTTCTCATTAGGTGGCCATAGTATTTGAGTTCCATCTTCAGGATCTGGCCTTCTAAAGAGCAGTCAGGGTTGATCTCCTCTAGGACTGACTGGTTTGATCACCTTGCAGTCCAAGGGACTCACAGGAGTCTCCATCAGCACCACAATGCAAAGGTCTCAATTCTTAGGCTCAGCCTTCCTTATGGTCCAAGTTTCACAGCCATACATTGCAACTGGGAAAACCATAGCCTTGACTATACGCACTTTTGTTGGCAGGGTGATATCTCTGCTTTTTAGTATGCTGTCTAGATTAGCCATAGCTTTCCTGCCCAGGAGCAAGCGTCTTTTAATTTTTTGGCTGCAGTCCCCATCTGCGGTGATCTTGGAGCCCAGGAAAATAAAATCTGTCACTACCTGCATTTCTTCCCCATCTATTTGCCAGGAAGTGAGAGGACCGGATGCCATGATCTTAGTTAATGTTGAGTTTCAAGCCAACTTTTGCACTCTCCTCCTTCACCCGCATCAAGAGGCTGTTTAGTTCCTCTTCACTTTCTGCCATTAGAGAGGTATCATCTGCATGTCTGAGGTTGTTGATATTTCTCCCAGCAATCTTAATTCCAACTGGTGATTCATCTATCCCTGCCTTTCTCATGATGTGCTCTGCATATAAGTTAAATAGGCAGGGCAACAGTATACAGCCTTGCCGAACTCCTTTCTCAATTTTGAACCAATCAGTGGTTCTGTGTTCAGTTCTTACTGTTGCTTCTTGACCCGCATATAGGTTTCTCAAGAGACAAATAAGATGGTCTGGCTCCCATCTCTTTAAGAACTTGCCACAATTTGTTGTGATCCACACAATCAAAGGCTTTAGCATAATCAACAAAGCAGAAGTAGATGTTTTTCTGGAACTCCCTAGCTTTCTCCATGATCCAGCGTATGTTGGCAGTTTGATCTCTAGTTCCTCTCCCTCTTCGAAATCCTGCCTGTACTTCTGGTAGTTTGCAGTCTACATACTGCTGGAGCCTAGCTTGTAGGATTTAGGGCATAACTTTGCTAGCGTGTGAAATGAGCGCAATGGTGCGGTAGTTTGAACATTCTTTGGCATTGCCCTTCTTTGAGATTGGAATGTAAACTGACCTTTTCCAATCCTGTGGCCACTGTTGAGTTTTCCAAATTTGCTAGCATATTGAGTGTAGCACTTTTACTGCATCGTCTTTTAAGATTTTGAATAGCTCAGCTGAAATACTGTCTCCTCCACTAGCTTTGTTGTTGCTCATACTTCCTAAGGCCCATTTGACTTCTCATTCCAGGATGTCTGGCTCGAGGTCAGTGACCACCCCATCGTGGTTATCAGGGACATTAAGCTCTTTCTTGTATAGTTCTTCAGTGTAATCTTGCCACCTCTTCTTAATCTCTTCTGCCTCTGTTAAGTCCCTGTCATTCTGGTCCTTTATCATGCCCATCTTTGCATGAAATGTCCCCTTCATATCTCCAATGTTCTTGAAGAGATCTCTGGTCCTCCCTATTCTATTGTTTTCTTCTATTTCTTTGCATTGTTCATTTAAGAAGGCATTCTTATCTC